AAGATATATATTTTTAAATGAGATACAATTTATTTAAAATATATACTAAAGTATAGTAATATAATATTGAATGTGTACTATACAATCACAATTATTTTTATTCTAATCACAAATAATTGTTCAAACAAAAAATTTTAAGAATGTTTATTTAGTCTAAAGAATTACGCATTGTGATGTACGAACACGCCGAAGGTGGCAAAATGGATAAGGTATTTGGATATACAAATATTAACGAATTATAAGATACAAAATGCACATTATCTGTTTTTTGAACTAAATACGCATAGACGTGAGGGTCAAATGTGACAGTTTTTAACAGAACACCTTCAAAAAATGCTTGTTTTGTTAATAAACAAATAAAAATTTTTGAAATATTGAAAAAAACAGGATCCCCGTATTCTTTATCGACATATAAAGTTAAAACGTTGTTAGGCCTATAAATAATACCATTTATTTTAACAAAAGATGCGGAGAACAATTCTGTGGAGGATAAAAGATTAAACTGTTTCAAAAGTAATGTTAATTGTGGATAGTCAATCTTTCTAATTTTACAAGAATACTGAAAATTACATGGAAGCCTGTTTTCTAAAAATAAATGGTTTAATTGTAACTGATTTTTTATTGCAATACTTTTGCAAATATTAACCCTATTCATTGAACTTCTTGCTGCTATTTTTAATGTTCTATGCTTAGATTCATATCTCATAGACCACAAGTTATGTAGGGGACCTAATTTTTGCATCATTCCTGGATAGTGGATTAAATAGTGAAATTTAGGTTTCAGAGGGGTTGAACTGAGTTGCAAGTACAAACTGTTAAATTCTGTCACTGTCCATCTTAGTCGATCGCAAACAATAGTATCAACGCAATCAGTCATCGCAAAATCTAATACGCGTCTTAATAAGATATACAAACGCCAATGTTCATCATTATCAGGTACCTTGTGAGATATTAAGCAGGAAAAGTATCTCACATAGTTTAGGGTTTCAATTGATGACATTTTCCACTTAATTTTGAAAGCACTTTCTGAGGACAATAGAGGCGGTTTACTATTAGTGTCACAATCATAATCGAAACTCTCTGCTCTGCTATTCAATTCTTTAAGAGTAAAATATTTTTTTACTAATAGCGAGTTTATAACTAAAGACATAGTATAATTAGCGACACCCTCTAGAATATCATGCATCATGTCAACGGCAACGTGCTTAAAAAGATTAAAATCAGGAAGTTTATACCAAATTGCTTTATGTTTGACCCCTGTTTCACTAACGTTGTTAGTATCAACATCAGCAAAATAATTTTCTTCGTTTCGTAACAAAGAAATGTCTTCGGAACACATGTGTTGGACTTGTTCTTTATTAGCCCTACATATTCGACACGGATACTTGGCATTGAAACTTTCAACAAATCCTAGCACGGAATGAAGTCCTAAATTATCTCCTATTAGCGCCCCCAATTTGAATTTAATAGTGCCCTGAAATTCTGGAATGTTCAATGTAATGCCTACCGTTGATAAATATTTTAATTCATCAATGACTAAATGAAAAGCCGCTTGGTTTCCTTCTTTCGTTAAACGATCAGAATAATGGAAAAGAGCAAACAGAAAAATGTATTTTATACTAGATGCTAAATGTGGAGGTAAACATGCTATTGATGTGTATACTGCTCCCAATTTATGAATGCCAGCATGACTGGATAGTGGGTTTCCTGTTTCAAATTCATCGTAATAAAGTAACAATGGGTAAATTTTCTCGTTAATATTTTCTGTTTGACTAATTTCCAACCACGTTGGACTATGAACGATATTAAGAACTGAAGACAAGTAATTGCAATCATGTATGTATTTTTCGATAGCTACAAAAACACCGGGAATTGATAAAAATCTTGCTAAAACATGACGAATAGCTATGAATTGTCCCGTACCTAAAACTTGTTTTCTCAATCCTTTAGAAAATTCAACATTTCCAACAGCCAAAACATATTGTTGAGGATATATATAAGTACCAAGATCTTTGTAATGTTTATCTCGTTTGTATTCACTAGAAAAGTTGTCTGTTAAAGTCTTTATTGTATCCAGGTTTCTTTCAATACCAGATGCACCATCCTTATGCATGCTGTTATCATGGCAAGGTTGCAGGATTAATGTTAACGAGTTTGTTAAAAATATTAATAAGTTTCGAATTAAAGTTTGAATAGTTTTTCGAGGAATAATTGGATCAGATAGAAGCGAGCTAATCATTAAAGATAAATCATAAGTAAAAATACTTTCGGCAGTTTGATTGTTGCATGCTTGTTGCATTTGTGTTACAATATCACTATGCATTATTGAATCCTCATTATTTACTACAGATATGGAATCATCTGTTGGTGATTTCAGAACTGCAGACGTAGTGATTATGTTAGATGATGTATTTATATTTGAAACATTAATTTGTGAAACTAATGTAGGTATAGCACCATGAATTCTTTTGTAATGCATCCTAAGCACTTGCAACGAATCATATATGCGAAAGCATCCAAGTTCTCCGCATCGAACACGAGAAGAATCGGAATACGAGAAATTTGTACATGTGTATCGAAGATGTTTCAGTATTTCAGATATTACTAGAAACTTTTTTGAGCAATAATAGCACGTTAACATAATGCACAAGAAACTACAGCGATAAGATAAAAATAAAAAAAAGAATAACAATTATATCTGATTATTGTATTAACGTTATTAGATGGAGGAAGTACTAATGCTAAATCTTAATGCCAATCAAGTGAACAAAAATAAACATTTATCAAAAAGTAAAAGTTACAACAAAAAGTTCCATTATTGGTGATAAACAAATAAAAAACAATTAAGAACCGATTTGACAATGGAAAATAGAAAAAGTATTGACGTTATAAGTTTTTGGTTAACTTAGTTCGTAAGTTTTTTTCCTCCACGTAAATGCCAATATCAGCCAAAGCCTTTATAATTGTTCTTCGGTTTATATCGTGATCCTCCAAAAATAGGTTATAAAAACCTTGTTGTATCATTTGCCACACGTGTTTGCTTTCAGGAGGATAATCACAGTGAAAAACATGAAACAATTTAAAACAAAGTTCTACAGCCTCTACAACGTTTTTACATGTATATAAAACTTTGTCTACAATTATGTGACTGTGACTGATATTATCCCACGTGGGACCTACCGCTAATACGTAAGGTTGAACAGATGTAGATATTTTCAATTTCCTTGCTATCTCAACCCACGATTTACGTCGACATTCAATGTGCTCTTCAACTTCCGTTTCACTGCAAACTCTTGCGACGAAAGACTCCACGATATCTGTCCTCGTTGGTCTCCACGTTTTGTGCACATAAACATAAGGAAATATAAAAGGAAGCAGCAAGAGAGTTCCAGTCACTCTAAGTGTAACATTTGAATCGTCTGAAAAAGTAAAATTATCATTTTATATCTAAAAGTATATTTTCCTATTATAGATTTCAAATATAAAATTGAAAACAGAAAATGTTTTACGTTTAGCCAAATCAAAAAATGGAGTAGCTATATTCTTATGTTTTCGTTGACTTGCTCTTTTTATAACCGCTGAAGAAGTTGTAATAATTGCAAGCCTGCATTTCTCACAATTTTGGGCTAAGTTTCCTGAGTACCTTGTTACAGGGTCTAAGTCGGGACAAAGTATTTCAAAATCCTGTTGAATCTGCACATGGAAATTTTGTAAGTTAGTAAAATATTTACATACTTAGTAATTTATATAATTCAACTTTATAATAAATTTTTATGTAAATATATTATTTTATAATATTAACATAATATTTATAATTATTTAAGTATTTACTTTAAATTATTGAGTTTAAAGAAAAACTTACTAAGGTTTTACCAATTTCTTCAATTTGCAAAAACGTATATTCGTTCAAATAATCCCACACTGTTCCTGACTGATCCAAGAGTTGCTTCCGTCTATACGGAAAAGTAGCTTTCCAGGAGGATACTAATTCTGGGCTAAGCTTGTGGTGTAATGGATTTTGCAAATAGTTAAGGTGAGACTGCACTGTCGGGTCAGCCTGTATAAGAGATACTAATACAACAAAATTAGTTACAAGAACAAAAAATAATATGTAAGAACATATAAGTATTATTAATACAAAATAGAAATTAAATACCTTCTCTTGGAACTTCAGTGTTTAATTGGACTTCTCCTTCCGATTGACTGACGGACCTCCAAGTGTTTGTGATATGAGATGTGTCGTTTGAAGTACATGGATCTCTGTCTTCGCCAGTTGATGTACTTGGCTGCCTCAACAGGGCATCTCGGTTTTCCTTAATAAGTTTCCTCCTTTCTTGAAAGAGCTGGACCTGTAGTACTCCTTCTGCTCTCTTTCTCTGAACTATGGTACCGTTTGGACGTCTATACGACTCGTATTTAAAGAAATAAAAAGCGGACGTCGGTGTTTTTGGAAACAGACGTTTAAAATATTCAGCCCATCTTATGAGAGTGCTTGTCGGTATTTTTCGTTGCGGAGGAGTGGCTAAATTGAGGAGATGTTTGGCAGTAACTTTTCCTATCAAGTTGATGTCAGATCCCACTGGTACCAGATCATTACGGTGGATGTTGTGAATAAGTTTTTGGAAATGGGACCCGTTCTTATGTAGGAGATTAAACAATGGATTTTTAGCTTCAGAATCTGATATATTAAAATCTGAAATTGGTGATTGCCTTTCCTGAACACTTTTTTCACTTGATGTTTGTATGGGGGCAGTTGTAACGTCGTTAAAATCTTTCAGTTCGTCCTCTGACTCTGCAGTTGCTTCTGTGAAATCCTCTTTAATGTTTGTGGCAAATTCAACAGCAGTATCTTCAACATTTACTTGCAGATTTGGAGTATCTTCAAGCTCTTTATTTTCTGCTGTAATTTGCTCGCTGTTCACAAACTCGTTTACATACGATGGAAACGCAAATGGGCTCAGTGACAAATTACTGCTGCTACTGCTGATATTTGTAGAAATCGAAATATTCGATAAATTCCTTTTGGGGGAATGATCCACTGATGCAACTTCGCATGGACTACTCGATGAAAAAGATTGCTTCTCGCTAATGATGCACGCGGACTGGATATCACCATATGTCTATAAGAAAAGAAATAATGCCAAACTGCTTTTTAGCAACATAAATTTCAATACCAAAATATACTCTATCACATAAAGTATACATAAAATGTACTTTACAGTCGTTACACAAAAACATGTACAGACATGCGCGCGTGCATAGCTGCATGCATGGACGGACAGTTTATATGGATTATACACATATTACAAGGCTATATATAAAGAATTTTAGAATGAAAATGAAAGATTAAAATTAAAGACTTTAATTAAGTGTATATACCATTAATAGTTCCGGATCTATCGTAAGACTTTGTAATGACATCCACTTCACTAAGGCTCTACCAAATCTCCTCCTTGGACCATATTTCGTAATTAATTCATCAAGCTCACGCTTTTTCAAAGTTTTCAAATCTTCCACTAAAACATTTTCCTCTAGTGCAAAAAAATAAATAAAGACAAAATAAATATACTAATCGAAATAAAGAATACCACAAAATAAGGAATATTAAAATATCCAATTATATGATAGCAAATCATGTTATAAATAGAATGTTTTCTATGTTATACATAAATATTGTATTATACATCTCCACTAATCTATATATAGCACAAACATCCAAGAGCATATACAGGACGTCCTCCATAGGCTTTGTGTTATATAGAAAATATTCAGCATAATATGAAATTGTTAAATAAATGCAAAATAATAATAGAAAAATTAGTAAACATAAATTCTAGATATGAATGTAGTCAAAGCAAAAATAAAAATAAGTAATATTTCAATTCTTAAAAACGGCTCATTCCCAGTGAGAAATGATTTGTCGATCGA